TCTGGTCTGCTCTGCAGTGTTTACTCAAGCCATTCAGATTTGGCATTCCCACTCCAGTATCCATTCATGATCCCAGACAGCTGCAGCATTCATATCAACAGCTGTGGACCTCGCACAGCTGGCAGCAGCTGGACTGAGTGCCCCTCCTACTTACTGCTCCTTCTCCTTCTCCTAACTCCTCCTTGGCTAAGCTACTAGGTAGGGCACAGCTAGAATTAAGTCTGCTCTAGATTCTGCTAATTGAGGGTGGGTAGAGGAAGTGTTATACACTGCACCTGTGGAGAGGCACTTGCTGGGGATGGGGACAGCGAGCTTGTGCTTGTATGCCCATAGGCAGAAGTGAGCTCCAATGAGCAAGACAAGGATTTAGATCTCCTGAGTCCAGCCCTGAGCCTTCCCCCTGGTTCCCTGCACACCTTTGCTGAAGTCTTTTCACTTCTCTGTATCACCCCCTGGGGAAGGGCACTCTTTCGAACAGCAAGGAAATTATGGACCTCAGGGGATGAATGTTTCATGATGGGATCAGCTCCTTGGTGGACAAAACTGTGTGCCAGCAGAGAGCTACTGTTCATTATTATTGTAAAGCAGTAATTGAAAGGGCTGGGAGCTACAGCAGGACAATGAGATGAGACTGGGAGAAGGGAAATGAAGCATTTTGTTCCTCGGGGGATGGAGACATTTCCCCTGGCGAGCAGAGCCTGTGCAGCCAGGGCCATATGGATGGACTCCCTCCCTCCAAGCGACAGGCAATCAGTTAAACCTGACAGGTGTGAAGTTGGCAATTTTCTTTTCAAAACTGTGAGATAAACAGGCTGGCAGGAGTTTGAGAGGAACAGAGAGAGTTAAGGGAGAAATGGAAACAGTCAGGTACGCTATCTCCATGGTGCTAGTGGTGCCTCACAGGCAGATGGATGGAGGAAAGCATTCACTTTGGAAAGCCTCAGATATACCAGGGACTCAGGTGCAAGGCTAGAAAAAGGCTTGACAACCAGGCACTAATGAAAAAGAGAAACCCCTTCCTCTTGCAGCACCTCAAAGTATGCTCCTTATGATTTCTTAAGATTTGATCCATATTCATCTTCTGAAGTTTAGCCAGCACTGAACTGCTCCTCCTGAGCTCACCAGCAAACTACAGGACAGTGTTTTCTGCAAAGAGGCAGAAAGAGCACTTAGTGCTTCTTTGCATGCAAACCAGTTTCTTTCCCAAATTCCATACAGTTCATATAAAAACCTCTGACTGTTTCCTACAAGGATCTGGCTCTGGTTCAGCAGTTGTGAAATCTAAGGAGGATGGAGTGTCCCTAACTCACCTTGCGCTGGGCTTAGTCAGATGAGGCCACAACACTTACCCCAACTGCTGAGGCTAAGGGAGCAACTTCCATGGCTGCTATCCATAAATGACTACCTTTCAATAACTCTAGCCCCTGGGGGTGTGGTACAACATTTTTAACCTACATTTTAATCATGTACACATTTATCTTGCTGTGACCCTGCTTTGCCTGCATGGCCGTGTCTAGCTCTTGTATTTCTGCTAGCTAGTATGTAAGATTTTAGGAGTGCAACACACATCTAGGTTTTGGTTTGGTTTTTTTTTTTTTTTTTACAGGCTGATCCTTATTCTGCAAATACTGTATAAGAGAGAGCCTGCATATAAACATGTCTGGGAAGGCTGTGAAATGCCTTGTTTGGAGGAGGAGTGAACCAGCCCCCCTTGCCTTCTGCCAGGCACCACTGAGGGCATTTAAGGCTCAACAGCACTTCTCGGTGTCACAGGTCACCCAGCTGGAATACATTTGCATAAAGCAATTTTCCCTAAGAAATATGTTCATGCAAATCAAACTCAAGATTGCAAATAATCTGAAACCATGAAGAAAACCTAAACAAACATATTTGTTACTACAAGTAATCCACCCAGCACTGTTCTAAACTGACAGGTTTTTCTCAGTTCAATTTTTCCAGCACTGGCTCCAGGAGACTTAATGGTATGTGTGACCTTGAGTGCTCTGACTTGAACTCAAGCATAGATTGCCTCTTACTTCACAATGAATTTTGTGTTGAAGGTCACATTTTTCTGGACTGATGCTCTGTGACCTGACCTGTCTCCCACACCCCTCAAGCTCCCACCCCTCCACAGCCAGACTGGTTTAACATCTCCCAGCTACACTGTTGGAGCCCTTTGGCTCTTGCACTTCCAGCTCTGAGTCTGCCATGAATGTGGATCCCTGCGAGAACCATCTGGTTTTGAGTGTTGTGCAAGGCATTAACCTCAGCATGAGATGGACGACTTCTTCTCAGGTGCCTAGGGTATCAGGCAGGTTGCCTGATAATTTCCTGATTAGACCGGACTATATCTCACTCACTCACTACAAATCCCACTTAGACCATGTTTGTTTGAATGGATGGAAGTAAACATAACTCCATTGTAGTCAGAAAAGTTGGATGGGCTTGCACCAACCAGGAACCTGGATCCGTCTTTATCATGGACATTTCAGCCCTGAACTCCGCATACATCTCCCAGTTCCAGGGAGGTAAATCTCATGGTGTTTGCTCTGGTCTAAACTGGCTCTCTGCTGCTGGACCATGCTCAGCAGTGGGCATGCAGCCTATGAGCAAACACAAGTCTCTTGTTCATCTCCTCCTGCCCTGATCTAGCTCCTCCCCTGACTCTCTGCTTACACCTTTGATGATCATCAGAGATCTGAAGTTGCTTTTGGGGCCAGCAGTGCTTGCCTGCAGAGATGTGGCTTTGAGAAGAAATCCAAGCCACACTGCCATTTTTCCATGGGCTACATGAATTGCTGGCATTCCCACCCCCAACATGTTTCTGTTTTGTTCCACAGAAACACAATACTTAGGGGCACTGCATGGGAGTCAGTTCCCGCTGCGCTCAGCTCTCTGCAACCTGAGCTGCTGAGAAGAGGCCCCATGCAATGGGTTTTATCCATCATCGCTTAACTGAAAGACGTGGTCTGGGAAATCAGCGTGGCATTTCCCAGGGGCTCATCCCAGCAGGACCATGGGCATAGATAGCCCCTCCTAGACTTCTTTCCATCTCAGACCCTCCCCCCCAGCTCCCTGGTGCTCCTTTTCTTTCTCCCTTTCTCCCCACCCCCAAACTTGGATGATGTGGCTGAGCCAGCTGCTGGGGATTCAGTTCTGTAGGATGCTGTCTCTGCATTGCTGTCATGGGTGCTCCGACGGCTACTGACCTGAATGGCTGCAGCTGAAGCACAGCTACACTTCCAACATCTGTCATTACTAAGAAGAGCTGGCAGACAGAGGAAAATGAGAGGATTAAAATATGTGGACATACAGATACAGCCTGGAGAGTGGTCACAATTCCCTTGAAGCCTGATAAAAAGGGCTTTTCCTCCTATCTTTAACCCCTTCCAAAGTGAGGTGCCCAGCACACTCCTGTTTCAGCAGAATGAGAACCGGCTCCATTAGTGGCATGGGGTTTGGAGGAGCCTGTCTGCCAACCAGCGCACAATGCATTGATCATTGAGCCTGGTATCAAAGAGCCTCCAGCTTCTTTGGCACATGCTTCATGCCTACTTTGCTCAGGGAATGAACAGTCTGCACCAAACCACTCCTTTCCAGCCTAATCCTGAACACTTCCTCCTCCATCCAGCTCCATCTCTTCCCAATGGAAACCAGTTCAAGTTCAGATTTGGGTCAGGATCCTTCCCATTCTCTCTCTGTGATGGGGGGTGCTGGGTTTTGGTTCACATCTCTAGCAGATCATCCACATGCTGAAGCTGAGTGCAAAAATCCCTTCCCAGGGAGTGTTCTGCTCTGTAGGCCAGAGGCATGGCAAAGTGCCTGTTGATATCAGTGAAAGGAAGAGAATGCACGTTTTCTTTGATCTCCTACTTGCTTTGTCTCTCACTCTCTTGCAAAAGTCTGGGTCTTGCAGAGTTGTCTGTCTTGATCTTTGGGAACCAGGCTTTCTTTGTAGCATATACTCACAGTCAGGAAGCTGGAGGAAAGGGGGAAGGTAAACTGTAGAGATCAGTAACAGAGGTGCAGGGATGCAGTTTCACTGATCTTGCCTCTTAGTGGTCCCTTAGCATCCCTATAGCATTTAGACGTTTTTGATGCACGATCATCATGGTAGCCAAGCATTTTACTATAGGAACATCCTACTGTGTCAAATCAAAGGTTGGCCTAGCCCAGTATCCTGGCCCTGACCACAGCTAATTGCACACGTCTAGAGAAAATGTAAGGAGAGAACAAGTGTGTATTGACATTTTTCCAATAGCCTATCCCTTCTGCTATAGCTAACAGCAACTTAAGAACTTCCTAAGCTAGAGACAGTGTCTTTATTTTTAATAGCTTTTGATGGATTTTTCTTCCCTAGGTTTTTATAGCCACTTTCTTAGCTCACGTTAACTTTTGGTATCAGCAGCATCTTTTGACTAGGAATTTCACTATTTACATGGATAAGGGGAAACTTGTCCATCTTTGTCTATCTTGAATCTGCTATCCAAGAGTTTCACACAATACCACCTATGTCAGTGGCAAAAAGAGTCATTCCCTGTCCACCTTCTCCAGGCCACTTGCTGTTTTGGAGATGTCTTAACCCTTAGCCTTCAGCCTTCATCTGCTAGCAACTCCCATTACAAAATACTGCATATCATGAGAACAGACCTAGGTTGTTGGAAAGCAGATGCCATTTTTGCCACTGTGACCCTCTTTACAGCTACCAATCAAAGGTTGCAGAACGACGCAGTCACAAATGCACAGAAAAAAGGAGAATGTATTTTTTTTTAAAATTCTTTATTTATAAAAAAGTACATTTTTTTCCACAGCTGAGCCACTATTGTTTTTTTTACAAGTAAAAGGAAGGGTGATGCAACACCCCTCCCACACAAATTATAACCATGAAAATGCCCCCCCCCCGGACCCCAAACAAACAAATTACAAAGGATGGAAAACAAAAAAACAAACAAAAATCATAAAAGTCCATTACATTATTATTTTTATTTTTTATTTTTTACAAAAGCACTTACAACACAGATTACCAAAAAAAAAAAAAAAAAGTGGGGTTGGAGTTGTTTGTCTGCCTGTAGTCTTTATTCCACAATGATAATTACAGCAAGAGGAAGAGGAAAAAGGGAGATAAAATCACTGGAGTTAAGAAATTATGTTTTATAAAAGGAAAGGCAAAAGAAAAGAAAAAACAGCTCCTCAGTGAGAGTACCTCCACCAACACCAGTCTATGCTAGTGGAGGATCTGACACCGCATGGTTGTTACATTCACCTCCAGGTAAATTACGTATGGAAAGTCACACTGGTCCGAGGTACAAACTCACTCTCCTGTCTAAGGCTTGGGTTTCCTTCCCTTGCTGGTGGACTGAATTGTTTCCTTCCCCCTGTTGCAGAAGGCAGCACCCCACATTCTGGCACCCCAGCCTTGGCTGTGCTCTGGTACCCTAGACCATCCCTATGTCTGTGCCAGCAGCCCCTGGGGAGAGGCCAGAGAGTTTTAGGAGTGATGGTGAGGCAGTGGTTGGACCTGAGGCCTTTGCACCCTTGCCTGCCCCAAGGCTTCCCCTGCCTGTCTCAAGGAGCTGCTCAGATTGACAGCAAATTGCATCAAATACGAAGAGCAGGGAAAGAGGGGGGTGAAATTGCAGGCTACGGGAAGGTAAAGTGCTCTTGTAAACCCCGCAGGATGAAGAACAGGTGCCAGTGCACATGATGCTGGCAGTGTCTCTTCTCCCCACGGGGGCCCACTGCCCACAGCCCAGCAAACAGACCCGAAAAACTTCAGTGCTACAACAGGAGCGGTTGTGAAGGTGGGAACTTACAGTGAATTTTAACCTCCTGGCAAAAGGCTACAACCTGCCTCACTGCTTCTCCTCTTAGAACAAAACAGGTCTGGGATCCCCCCACCCCATTTACACAGTATAAAACCTCAGCTTTGTGCAGCCTGCAGGCATGAAACATTTGCCCTTCACCCACACTGAGCTGGGCAATGGGGTTTTCTGCTCCATCCTTTGAGCATAATAGCCAGTGCCTGAAACTCGGAAAATCTCTCTGTGAGTGTGCATGCTTGTGTTTGGGAAAGAAAAGCAGCAAAGGAGAGCAGCAGCTCCCGTTCTAATTGCATTCCCTTCTCTAATTGCTTGAAGATCAATCTTTGGAATCTCTCTCTCTCTAACCCTCAGTGATGTCTGCTGAACAGTTGTGTTTCTTTTTTGACTCAACATCAGGAAAATGCCTCCTTTTGTCCCCTATGTCTTTGCAATCAATTTGGTGCTACCATTTCAGTTTGTTTGATTTTTTTTTACTAAGAAATCTTTGGGATTTTTTAAAATATTTTTTTTTTCCCCTGGTTGAACTCAAATTATTTAACAACAGGGGAAAAAAAATATCTGGTAATTAAATAAGGGAAAATAACATCACTAGGGTGAATTGTAATGAATAATCCTAGAGATAAGCCGTAGCAGGAAAACAGCTGGGGTGTCTTTGTTCATAAACTACAGGCTTGTTTTGGGTTGTGACACAGATGCATCTGCTTCAGTACAGCTCTGCACATACACACAGGAAAGGAGCTGGGGGTTCGCCCCAAATTCACCTGCATCTTCTTTCCTGAGATACTGGTGAGACCCAGAGCAGTGTACCACAGGGCTCACTTTGACCTCCCTCTCATGTGCCTGTTCAGCTTCCACATCCGCCCAGCTTTTTCTTGAGGTACCACAAGTTTTGCCTCAAGTTGCCATCCAGGATCAGGGCTTGGGAAGGGAAAAGCACCACGCTGGTATGTCTATTGGCAAGAAGCCAGCAAAGGGATCTGGACAATGATCCCTTCAAATGGACGAATGGCAACTGGCTGTGCCTCTGAGGCACTTTGCTGACACCCAGTCCCCAAGCAGTGTGACGGCACTTCCCAGAAAGCCAACTCAGGTGTAACTAATGCAACACACCAGTTCAGGTCCAGTGTAAAATGGGGCATTTCCTGGAGAGCATCAGCTCCCCAGCACCTAGGCAGAGAGATGGCCGACACTGTGCCAACAGCAGGTGCTGGGAACAGGGACAGGGACATGCTCCACCCTGACCAGAGGGGTAGCCTGGGGGTGCCCACCCCGCCCTCTGCGGATAGCTGTGAAGCAGGGACAGCACAACAAACAGCTTCCACCTCCCAACTGGAAGCTTCTGCTTGCTCTCTGCTGGGTCCCTTAGAACCTCTGATGAAAGGGGGGATGGAGAAGCAGGGGATTTTTCATTTGAGGCAGCCTGAGGGTCCCTTGGAGAGGTGGTTCAGCTGGTTAGCTCATGTGCGCAGCTGTGAAAAGTGTGTCACCACTGAGTATCAGCAGCTTGACTCCAGCCTGCCAGAATCTGGCCCATTTCGAGAAAGGGACAAGTGACACCATCCCCCAAGGAAAGAACAGATTGCCCCTCTGCCTTCCCTCAGAGCACTGCAGGGTGAGTACTGGGCTGTCCCCAGCACCTTCACTCCCCTGCAGAACCTTCCAGGAAGCAGGATGCACACTGTCCTTAATTTGACGTCTCTACTGAGCTCACCTTCACATTCAGGTAGAGACAGGTACCACTTCATCCTGATGCTGGTGGAAAACCTGATCTAAATACATTCAAGGGCCTCCTCAGAGCCATTTAATCCAGAAAAGGGAGTGATGCTATTACTGGATCAAAACGGCTCTCAGATGAACCATCTATCTGAATCTTTTCCCCACTCTTCTTTTTAATTCTACCTTGCTATGGATCAATGGCTAATCACTTGGCTAATTACCACCCCAAGAGTCTCTTGGCCAATTAGCTGACCTTGCAAGGGACAGCAAGAAGCAAGTCACTGCAGAGAGGTGGCATTTCTCTATGGCTGTGGGGGTAATTTCACCAATGGAGTAATGCTGAAGGGTCCAAGGATGAACCTTGAACTTGTAGGATACCTCACTGCTGTGCCAGGCAATACTGTCTAAGGATCTTCCACTCCAGGCTTGCCCAGGTTCTGGATAAAAAATAATCATTTGACACCTCTTCTGAACCACTCTGATGAGCTAAGTGGCCAAGCTCTTTCCTAGACTTGTGCTGGTGCAGTACTGGGGAGTAAAAAGTGTGATGGAGAAGAAAGAGAACCGTATAGAGGCTCTAGCTTGAAAATACCATATTGCTCTGCTATCTCCTCCTCTTTCTGAGTCCCACGTTTTTTTTGAGCCCCCATTCAGTTAACTATGTATACTGTGTGTGCTCGGGCACTGAATAAGCCAAGGAGGCTACATCTCCAAAAATGACACCTCTAAGTACAAAGCTAATAACTATCAAAGCATATTTCTTAGGACTCTCTGTTCATATTTCCTGCAAGCCATACCTTAACTCAGGAGCAGCCATACTGTCCTGTCCTCTCCCAGGCCTGTCTGCTCCATTTGCAATGCTTTGTACCTTTGGTCTTTAGGACACAACTTCACTGTGGGCTCAGGTCCTGCAGTGCTGTGGAGAGTACAGTGTGAATTTGCCAGATCAGATCAGTGGCCCCTGCCTGTGACTAATGCAGAATACGAAAGAATCGCTGCTGGACCCTAGAGATGTTATAAAAGGTTGTTTTCTTCCAAATCCAGCTCCTCGCAGTATGTATCTGTGCTGGGGGAAATTTGCAGAGGAAGGTCTGTGCCACCAATTTCCACTCTGTGCTTGGTCATGGACTGCTCAGAGTTTGGTGTTGGAGACATTGTCACAACCCTTTTTAGAGCCTAGTTGTTAAATTCAGATCTAAAGGATTATTCACCTGAGAGATGGACTTTGTTGAGAATTATCTCTGAGCCACAAACTGTGCAGGCTCTGCAGCACACCCCATGTTAACATTAAATCAAGCTGTGGCTAAGGTACAGTGCTCAGAAATGCTGCTCTGTCCGGATCTAGATTACAGCGTTCACACTTTGGGGAATTAAAACCCTGTGGATGCTGTTATCCCAATGCACTGGAGGGAAGTCATTCCCTCTACAGGTTTACAACCACTCCTAATAATCAGCCCCTGCTTGTAATCAGAGATATAGAGAGATGTTCGAGATTTCATTTCCTTTACTGGGGGGTTGCTTGGTTGCAGGGTGCTCCTCGTGTCAGTGGACGGACACAGGAATGTTTAGCCATATTTTTTAAGGTTCAGCCCGAGCGATCCCAAGAGAATCTTTTTCTGCCCTGCTTTGAGAGGACATGAAGTGGCGTTCCTGTGGCATCTGGCTGTTCTGCCAAAAGCCAGGAAGTCTGAAGGGCTGGCAGGAACAGCAGAAAGATTACAGCGTAACAACTGGATTTCCCACTCTCCTACACCACTAACACGTAAGAGCAAGCTACAAACTGTAGATGGCTGAGGCTGAGCTTCATATTGTCTGGACCAAGGAAAGCATTAGAGGCTGCCTGGATCAGAGATCTGACCTTGACTCATCTGCGTGGGTCTGACTCTCCACCCTCCCTTTTGTATCAGGATAACTGCTGGATGCTATAGAACAAAACCCAGTGGGTAAGGCAGGAGGAGAATTAGTTCTGCTATTTTTAGATATGCATGATAATACAGCTCAGAAAACTGGGGATTTCTTTTCAAACAAAAGATTTATTTGTACATCAAATAAAAAAAAACAAAACAAAACAAAACAAAACTAAAACAACAACAAAAAAAAACACACAAGAAGAAAAATAAGCCCCAACCCAGTGAATCTAATTTGGATATGGTCAGTGTCAGACAGAGGGCCCTGAAGTCTGGAATCCCATTTATCCACAGAGCAGAGATAGCAGCAATCCAAGCCTCCTCATCACAATGCAATGGCTCAAGGGAAGGAGGACGAGATCAATACCCCAGGCTTGCTCCCTCCTGCCCTGTCTACCAAGCCTTTGCTTAGAAGAGGGATGTGATATTGAAAAAGTGGCAATCAATGCAAACTAAGCAATATATCTAATGGCTGGGGTTGTTGCTAGGAGAGTTAGAGAGAAGCACCCCCATGCTCTGACACCCCCCCCCCAAAAAAAAAAAAAGTGTAAACACATGACAATTAAGTCTTAGTGGTATAATAAAACATAGAGGCCTGATCCTGTACTGAAGCCCTCAAAGAGACTGGATGGTATGCTGGAAGATCAGCCCTGCTGGGGTCTGCAGGCCAGAGCTGAAGGCAGTGAGTTTGTGGCAGACGCGAAGTGGTATCGGTTGGTCCCCTTCCCCAGGCAACAGCAGCAAGGTGTGTGCACAGCACTGTGCACAACTGTTGTGCCAGAGTTAACTTCTCTGTGGCTGGTACTAGCAACAACAACAGCAACAAGAACAAGAAGAGCCAGCATTTCTCTGAGCCATCACAGGGGAAAAAGTGTCAGCAATAAATACTCCTTTTCTTTCTTTTAAAAGAACACTCAAAGAAAGACAGAAAATGAAAAGCCAGGAAATAATAAATTGTAGGAGAAAAATGGCAGCTCTGTTTCCCTGCCCTGCTATCAGCCCATGCACCTGGGGTTTGTTCTAGGGCTTTTTCTCCCCCCTTTCTCTTCATTTTCCTTTTATTGAGTCATTAAAAACTAAGAGTGGATCTTCCCAGGCGTGCAGTGGGCAATGGGAATGCTACCCAGACCCCACCGAAAAGAAAGTGATTAGGAAAAAAAATAAATCAGTTCACATGATAATGGCACCTATGTTTCCATTGCCATAAGCTTTCCTGGCCTCTGTCCTTCTATGGACAGCCCACTTGACCCCCTCCCAAGGTTAAAAAAAAAACAAAGAAGACAACATACAAACAAATTCCAGTGTTTCAGGGGTGCAGAAGTGGGAGGAGGAACCTCCAGGAGGGAAGTGGGGCTGAAGGGCACTCTGAGACATGAAGACACAAACAGAGTGTAATATACAGGCTGGGCAACAGTCGTTAAAGCAAATAGTAACACCTAAGCCACCGACCAATACAAACACCACAGAAGGGGACGAAAGTCGTCAAGAGAAATTAAAAAGCAAAACCAAAACCGAGAAAATAATTACCCAACCTCCCACCTCCCGTACGCCCCAAAAATGATCTGTAAGCAAAGCTGCCCTCCCTCCCCGCTCGCCCCAGCCTGCCCTTCCTGCCAGTGCTGGAAGCGTCCAAAGTCTCTGCTGAGCGCCTGGGGATGGCCGGGGGCAGGCATGCGTGTGCGGGGGTGAGCGTGCGTGCAGTGTGTGTGCAAGCGGCCGTGGCACGCTCGGCCCCGCTCGGCAGTGATGCAGGGGGAGTGGGAGGGCATCACTAGTGTGTGTGTGTGTGTGTGTGTGTGTGTGTAGCGATGGGGTGCTGAGCTACACGTACCACTCCTTTTTGGAAATAAAAGATCCGTCGTTCTGTGAGACCATGTTCTCCGCTATGTCAAGCTGCTCGGGGTCGTACTGGAAGCCGAGTGTCCTTTCATCGTAAGGTTCGGGGTGCGCCTCCCCCTCATCTACTGTGAAGTAAGGCCGCTTAGCATCCTCCTCGTATTTGTTAGGGCCACCGAGCTTGCGCTCACCTCCCGCATCGTCGTCCTCATCTTCATAGGTGCTGCCGCCCAGTGGGCCCGGCTTCTTCTCGTCATCTGAGTCGTCAGGGTACTGGAGGTTTTGGGCCATGGGGGGGTGATGCTGCGGGATCCCGGCCTTGCTGTAGCCATTGCCGTACACATGCTTCTTTGTGCTGTAGTCACCCTTGAAGGTGTGACGCCGACGCCGGAGTACCACAAAGAGCACCACGGCCACCACCAGGACCAGCGAGACTCCTCCCACTATGCCCCCAATCACCGGTGTGGGGATGTTCGGCTGCACCATGGATTTGCGATCATCAATTGGAGACGGGGTGTAGGGAAATTCTGGGTAGGAAAAGACAGATGGAAGGGGGAACAGTGTCAAACCATGCGGAAACGCGCCCTCCCTCCATGCTTTCATTACCATTTTTGGGGGGGTGAGGGGGCGGGAAGATGAGGGTAAGGAACAGGGAAGGGAAAAACTAGGGAAAGGGGAAAAGGGTGCATCCTCACAGGGGTCAGCGCACAGGAGCTCTGCCTTAGCAAGGGGAATGCAGCGTGCCGTGCCAAGCTAGCCAAGCCTCATGCAGGAGCCCAGCAGGCTGAAAGCAGTGTTTCCCTCCCCACCCCACCTGGTTTCTCCAGTCGTGCTCAGATCCCACAAGCCCAGTGCCTTGAGTCCAGATGCTTTCTGTTTTACTGGGTGACATTTCAGGTCCAGTTTACCAGAGCATACTGACATCCCCAAGGTGCTCCTGCCGGGGAGTGAGACCCAAACCTCATCCGACGGTGGGCACTGGCACACAACTGCTCCTGTAGATGCCATGCTAGACCCACCAGCTTTGTATCCCTCTCTTAGCATCCCAGCCCGACTTGACCCCAACCAATCTAGGTTGAGCCAGAAGGCAGCAGCCTTCTGTGTGTGTGTGAAGTGATCTCCCTTCTCACCCACCCCACAAGTGATCTGTGGCTGCACGGTGCTGCTCAGGGTCACAGCTGGCTCCTGAACCCGCTTGCTGACCCAGCCATGCTCTGCAGCACTGGGACACAGACCTCCCACTGTTTTCTTTTTCTTCTGCTATTACTGTGGCCAGCATAGTGCCACTACTCATGCTAATCTTGTTCCTACGGTTACCCTGACCTATTTAAAAAAAATAAATAAATCAAAAGAGAAAAAGAGAAGAGATGAGAAAGAAGCTCTCTTCTCTTTCATTCAGTTCAACACCTACACTTCAGCACAGATGAAGTTTGATCCAGGACTTAAATCAACCTTCCTAACACTCCCTGGGCACAGTTACAGCCCCCAGCCAAACTTAGCTTTCACACACAGCCTGTTGAGCATCCATGTCCACGAGGCATCAAGCACCACATGGTTGTCTCAGTTCTTCACCTGCCTCTGAATTTAGACAGCAGGTGCCTGATTAATGACCCCTAGCAGCTTTGCCCACACACACACCATGCTCAGACCCCTCACACGTTTTTTTCCACCCCCAAGGCCCGTCTGCCAGTCCTGCTCATAGCTGCAAGCCTTTATTGCTGCTCTGGAGCCTCCTGGCCCTCACTTTTTAACCTGGCAGCCAAGGAGAGGTACAGACCAACTAGGAATCTCAGCATGCCCTCCCATAAGATCAGGCAGGATGGTATGATGGGGAAGGAAGGGCTCAAAGGCAGCAAATTCAAATGGGATATGAGGCAGAGTCTGTTTCCTGCCCCCTCTTTGTGTACCCGAAGGGCTGCCTGCTGCTGGCAGCCACATTTCTGCATTAGGGTAGGAAGCCCTGAACAAGATGGAGCTGGGCAGGGAGTGGGTTTCCCTGCAGCACAGCTTAGCCCAGCCACTAAGGAAGAGGGGAGAAGAGAGCTTCCCCTGAGCAGAGGCAGTCCTGAAACAGCTGCAGATTTTGCACAAGAGTACTGAATTGGAGCAATTGCTGGCCTGATCCTTGCAGCATAAACATTTTGCTTGTGCCTGAGAGCTATTTCATTCCTGCCTTTCCTGAGACATCATCCCCAAAACAGCATGGCTGTTTCTGCAGTGCTGACTTGCCTTGAGCAAAGCTTTACGAGCCTGAAACCACACACAGAGCAGCACACTGGACAGAATGGGCTGGGGGACAGGCAGATGGAGGGGCTCCCTGCTGCACTCAGAACGAGGAGCAAGATACTGTGCAGGCAGGAGCCAGCATCCCTTTCCAAAAGCAGCCTTCAGAGTGGGAGTAAGGGCATGTATTTCAGTATAGGGAGCTGGGTCTGGGTTCTGGAAAGCCAAAACCACATGTTGCATCAACAGAAGGCTTGTCATAGCCAGCTGCTTAATGCAAAACCTCTCTGCGGAGACAGCAAGAAATGTCACGTCCATCCCCTGGTAGTCCTGGCTGATGAGGGCTCAGCCTCAACCACACAAACACCCACAAGGCTCTGTCTACCCCTGCCCATGCCACTTCCCCAGGCCTGCTCCTTGCCATCCCAGCCTCTGCAACCCTGTGGTGCCCAGTTCCCAAAACTGTGTACAATGCAGGGGGTCCACCTGGAGCTTAAGTGGGTGCAGAGAAAGACCAGCAAGTAGGCTCAGACCCCAGGGGCCATATCTTTTATTTTCCCCCACCCGAGAGCTCTGATCTGAAGCCTCTTCCTACCTTGCTTTTCCCCACAGCAGATTTTGTGCATGGACTGGGGGTCCCAATACCCCACCCTGAAAAGACCCAGATATGGTGTGCATGCTGGCTGCATGGTCCCTAAAGCCATACTGATCCCCTCTGCCTCCCACCTCTGGCAAACAGATTTGAGAGGGGAAGTCTGTGCATAATTTCAAAAGGAGTTTGGCCCACTTTTCTATGAAAAGCCTCAGCAACAGCCCAGGTTGGACGCTTGAAGTGAAAGGGGAAATGTTTTTCTACCTTTCTCATATATATTTATTTTTTTCCTGCCCTTTGTGCTGCCCGCCCCTGAGATAGCACTCGCCTACACACCACCCCCCTGCCACTGCCAACGCCGTGGACATGAAAACTAACATGCTGCTGTGTTGGATTTCACACGTCGTTCAGGGAAGGAACTATTTTCTGCTTAGATCCCATCCCCATCCTCCTCGCAGTGGCCCAGTTCCCATGCCAGAGAAAACAAAACCAAACTGTGGGAAGAGAGGGAGAAGATGGGAAGATCGCAAGCCAGCAGCCGACACCGTCCCCTCCCTACCCATGCCATTTCCTCCCCCCTCATCCTCCCACCGCTCTCCCCTGGAGTGCGGACAAGAGACTAGTGAGTGGCTCGGGGGATGCGGTGGGAGGACGGAGACAAACGAGGCAGACAGGACAAGACAGGCCGCTCCGGAGCGGGGCAGGCAGCTGCCCGACATCGCCGCGGGTCAGTGGCACAGACCGCCGCTGGCTCCAGAGCCAGGCCGGGCACTGCTGGAGCCCCTCTGCTCAGCGAGCAGCAAGCCCGGGCTGAGCTGGGAAGGGAGGGGGGTCCCTGGCCTGGGCTGTGCCCCGGCAAGCCTCTGCCTTGCCCCCCACTTCACGAGGGCAGGTGGTGAGCGGGCAGCAGCGTCCTCCCCCGTGCTTCCCCCCGCAGCTTTTTGGCCTCCCCCAGCCCTGCCGCAGAGCCAGGCTCTGCGGGGATCCCCGCGCCCCACAGCTGCTGGGCACAGCCTGGCACGCCTGCAGCCTACGGCCACAGTGCCCTGGCGTTCAGCAGCCAGGTTAATTAATTAACGCCTCGGGACAGGTCCAGTTCTCAGCGGGTGACGCTCTGCACGCATCCACTGCTGTCAGCCCCACAAAGGGGGGATTTACCCCGCTGCCCACCGAGCTGCGTGTCTGGGGTGCGAAAGAGAGCAGCACCGCAGCCTGAGGAGAGAGGGGAAGTGTGGGAAAAGGATCCCCTTTTTGTGTTCGAGGGGTGCGTGAAATTTCTGGAAACTGGTGCGAGGCCTGAGCGTGCTGGGGGCCCCATGTGAAAAATCCATTAGGAAGAGTCTGGAGAGAATTAAAGCCACTGTGAAAAGTGGACTGGAGAAACAGGAGATAGCAGAGTGGAGAGAGGGGGAACAAGCTAGGCTTTAATGCCAGCATAAAAAGCCTCCCCCCCGCCTGCTACCCCCCAGTTCTCATAAAAAGAGGGAGTGCTGTATGAATAGAAATTAAAGCAGCAACACTATCTACTCGCTGCCTGGCTCTGCCAGCTGTTGCATTCAGCCCAGCTTCCTGTCCCCATGCCAGGAGTTGGACCTCTGGGGCAGCAGCTGGGAGTCCAGGGAGACGGGGGGTCGCCCTGGGCTTCACTCTGGCACACAGCCGAGCCTTCAGGTTCCCTTTGATCACTCCATGCAAGGCAGAGGGCTCCGAGCATCCCAGCTCCTACCTCCCTGCTGCAGCACCCTGCCACTGCAGAGACAAACAAGGCGTTCCCCATCACAAGAGTGGCTTCAAAAATGCACGTTTTAAAAATCACATCTTTCTTTTAAGGTCTGGTTTCCAATAAAAATGAGATATATGCAAATCATCTTGCCTGTCCATCAATCCCTTATCTAATGCTTTTTGAACCTGCTGGCCAATTTCAGTGCTATCTGACAGAAGAAGAACGAGCCAAAATTATCCCTATCATAAAACTCTTGGATAGAGCTGGAGTGGGATCCCTGGCAGAGGTGGGAGCTAAACCTCATTAGACATCAGAGAACCCACAGACACAAGAGGCTGCTCCCAAGGGCAAGAAGGGCCCAGATCAGAAAAAGCGTATCTTTAGACAGCAAGTAATTCTTCTATGATAGGCAGATCCACAGGAAACAAGCTTTCAAAAGCCCTTCTGCTCATCACACCGCTTAGATATTTTAAAAGATTCTATTTCCTGTGGACGCATTTTTTCTTGAAGTCACATTTCCATCCTTTTCCCTTCAATCATAAGGGCTAAGAAAAAACTCAGCACCAGCTGAGATTCTCCCTGTAGCCATGGGCATTGAGGAAAATGTCAAACTCCATGAGAAATTACCTTCTGAACATGTGTCAGCCCAAGCTGCTCCTTGCATGAAGCTCCACCAGAGGAAGACTCTGGATTTCCTTCTGCCTTGCAAAATCAAACATCTGCTGCAATGGGAAGCATTTGGCCAGCTCTAGCCAGGGCAAGCAGCAGCTCTGGGGAGGAACAGGAACCTTAATTCCAGTGGGTTCATGGAGCTTCCCAGTTGTCAGATGGCCTCAGCAAATACAGTGGTGATCACGTGGGGGTTTTTAAGAGACAGAATTCTGATGGCAAATTTTCCCTGCCAGTGCAGTCCACACCAAATTACACCAGGACTTTGACTGACTCTGTTACAGACGTATGCATGAGGGAAGATAGGGAGATACCTCTGGACCTGCTTCAGACCAGACAGGGCTGCAATTGGAGAAACCTGTAGCACTGCTGTCCTTTTTCCTTCACAACAGCCCTTGCATGCCCATCTCCGGCTTCAAGTGATCCTGCCTTTTCCCCTCCTTTCCAGGGATTTCTGCTCTCCTCATGAGGAGTGGGGCAGGGAGGAAGAGGAGGCGGTGGGAGTGGAAAAACCACTGGCAACTAATCCAGAAGTTTAGCAGCTGCCACTGGCATTTCAGAGTGTGACGGCTTTTAGGCCAGATGCCAAACGTGTCTTAAGTTTTAATCTCTCTGTCAGGTCACCTATCGCTTGTCAATCAAGCACTGCTCCCGCAGGGGCCATTGGCACAGATGCCATCAGACAGGATGCAGCAGACATTCCTACCCACCATCCGGAAGATTAGCATCAGACAGATCCCCCAGGCTTGCTCCTCTTTAGCCCCTGGCCTTACGTCCTCCCACCTAAAGCAGCCACAAGCACTTGCTGGTGCAGCATGGCACAACCCTGGCCAGTGGCTGGGCTTTGGGCTCAGATTTAATGCTTCCCAGAACGAGCTTTCTCTTGTATTCTGAACCTTAGCAAAGGCCTGCTGCCGCATGGCAGAGGGCTCCAGTGAGCCCCATGGGATGTTTGCAGTGACCTTGCTGGGACAATATCACTGGTGGTGCATAAATAACTCCCTGCTGCAAGCCAAGCAAACAGGAGGTGGGGCGTCAGCCCATGCCAGCCTTTCCTCCCCTCCACAGCCTGTAGCATATCCAAGGCCAGGGCTGAAAAGCCGCCTGCCCACAGGCCGGCACGTCCCTGGACAGGGAACGGCACGGACTTCCCGTCCTCACAGGGTATCTGCACATTATGTCCTGTCTTCTGGAAATCCAGGGGGTGCAGAGGTGGGCAAGCAACAGGGGGAACCTGCAGTATCCTGGAGGAAAAGACCCCTTCCTGGCCTCAGGAAACAGGTGGGAGTCCTGCAGCAGAGAGGTTGATAGTGGTCACTACCTCAGCACAGGCTCTGCTCTTCCTGCTCCCCCAGCTCTAGCACTCTGAGTGTCATTCAGTTTTGATGTTTGCCTGGCGCTTGAAGACCCACGGGGAGAAGAGATGTTTTAACATCTTTCTCTTCATGCTTCTTCTGGCTGAAGCCAGTACAGAAGTGCATGAATGTCCCCCTGCATACACGCAAAATGTGTATGTACACACATGCACAAGGGCCAGGGTCTGTATATGCACTGCTGCACACAAGCCCAGAGAGCCAAGCACACGTTCATAAACACATGCATATTCACACATGCCAATGCAATGATGCTCTTGTGTCCTGCATGCACACGTGACTTTGCAGCAGGGCATCCCTGTGCAGGCATGCCAGGATGCAGATTGGGCTCACACATATGTGTGCATGTATGTGACCAGCTCCCTGTGCAGGACCACCACACCTGTGTGCAGGCACAAAGGGACACGCATGCAGTCTATAACCACAGCCTTTTATTATGTCACCCAACCGCCTGTAATAAATAGTTACACGTCACACTACATGGCTTGGCTGTGACTGACAAAGGTCCTGCAAGGCAGGAGAAGCTATTATAGGAACAGATTGCTGGAATAAAATATTAAATTTCCACTTATCAATCTCTTTAATGCGCTATAACTCTAATAGAAGTGTTCAACCTTCTGCCTTTGAACAAATCACCCTCCCCATGACAGGGGGCTGAACTAGCCCTGCACTCCTACTCTCTGGAGCTGGTGCTGGGACGAAGGATGCTGGGTGGCAGAAGGGAGGAGGTCTGCACCCGGGGAGACAGGAGAGGGAAAAGCCGCTGCAGGGTTTTCTCTGCATCAGCTTTCTGTTTTTTTTTTTTCTCCCAAGGCTGGCTGCTCTCTAGATTGAACTCCATTTATTGCATGCAGCTCTTGAAAGAGGTTTCGTGGTCCACTGACAATCCCTAAATTGCCTGCAAGACCCAAACAAATGTACCTGTAATAGCTGAGCGAGGACGGCTGAGCCCTCCCCAGCATGGTCTAATCGGTCCTTAGGGAGAGCTGGATAAACATATTCAGATCCCATGAATTATTAAAAGCTTTTTTTTTAATGCGGTGAATGCCTGGCCTAACGGGTTGGCTGCTAATCCCTCCTAGCAGGGCAGCTGTGGGTGTGCCCTTCCTTCCCTCTCATTTAACCTCAACCCCACAATTTGGATCTTTGGGAATAAATTGAGATTACAGGCAGGCAGACATCAACCCAAACTCACTCCCCAGAAATCCTGCCAGTCCCCGCTTCCCTTGCTAGCACTGCGCCGACTGAGCATGAGAATGATGCTCTACCAGTCCCCTGAAAAAACACCAGGAAGAGAGACGTTTCCCAAAGGCCAGAGGGAGAACCCGCAGACCCTTGTCCCTAAAGGAGCCTGTGCCCGTGCAGGCGAGCTGGTGCAGCCCGCCCAGGCTGCAACGCTATTGTGGCACTGAGATAGATAAAACACTGGCAGGTGACAGCAGAAAATATGAAGAGAGGGCTCTATCTGGTGTTTGTGAACAAGCATTCTGACACTGCAAGAGATACGTGGTGGTTGGATAGACAGAACAACAGCAAGAAATGGACATACAAGCTATGCAGAAATGGAAAATGAGACACGGTGAAGAGAGTCTGTTCCTCTCTGTCTTCTGCAATACCTATCCCACCTCCTTCTCTGCGACTGGGGACTGAGCTTGGAGGATCTTTCCCTTCAACCACTGTTTCAAATGTGACCTGAGGTGCTAGTTACTGCAGGGGATGGTCTTCTATTGCTGATGGGAAGCAAGACTGCTCAGTTTGTATCAGGCAGTTGCCTGCACTGTCCCAGAAACACAGTGCCTTTGGTGGCAGCTCCCATGAAATGGCCAGTGGCTGAACAGCTTGTGGGCATGACCTTCCCCCAGCTTCGGGCATTTGGGCAGGGCGGGTATCTGTGTCCTAAACAAAGAGCTTTGTTATTGTGGTGCCTTTCATTGGCAAATGAAAAATCCCCCAGAGAAAAGCATATACCAGGAACAACTCAGCAGGCAAGGATCCAGGACAGGAGGTGTGAATTAAAGGACTGCTACAATGATAATGATCATAAATAAATACTTGGTAATTAGCATCTAATTAGCACATCCCATCCACTGACCTCCAAGCACTTGGATAGAGGAAGATTAGTCTGGTTTACCCATGTTACAGAAGAGGGGAACTGCAGTGGTGAGGGTGCCAAACACAGTGTTATTGCTAATTTCAGGAGGTCAGCTGCCTGGCCCTTGTCTTTTATGCTTGCTCAGCACTTAGCACTGTAGAGAGTGGGGGGGGGTGGGTGGGGGCAGGAGCTCTGCCCCTCTGAGAAGCTCATTTCATCACTCTCAGGTTAGACAACTCCTCAAGGACTCAGGTGGCTCAGAGAGGTGGCCTGCTATCAGAACAGCTAGCGCTCTGATTTGCCTCAGGCTGGGCAGCAGGAAGGGCTGACATCCCTGGGAACCTGTCCTGTATTCCCCATGCCTTGGGAGCCCCCGGTGCACCTCACTGCCCTTCCAGCTCACAGGCATTTGCTATCTGTGGTATTTGCAGGACACAGGCAGCCAGCTTCTCTCCAGCTCACTCGGCTACAGTCACCGTCCCGCTGCTCTCCCCAGGGAGAGCAGGTCTGGAGCTACAACACCCCACGGTCCCTGCTGTGAGCCCAGATGGAAGAGTGGCCGTGTGCCGTGGTTTGTGCTGCCCACCTGGCAATGGCCGGGGGGCCAGAGGGGAGCCAGGCAAGTCACCCCAGCTGCCAGGCATGTCTCCCAGGCAGGCAGTACTGCTTCATCACAGTCGCTCCCTCCTCTGTCCCCAGAGAGCCTGGAGCTCATTGCAGCGTGCCAGTGCTCCATCTCACTACTGCAATAAGTACTTCCATCTCTCTTGTGAGATTCACAGCTTGTCATTAACCCTCTGATAAACAAATCACTCCTTTTACCCCAAAGGAATGGGGTAAATTTCCCTTCCTAGCTCTCAAAGCACCAACAGCCACTTTTCCCCTTTGGTGATGCCTTGCAATTCCACCTTATCTCTCTGAAATCAGGCTATTACTGCATGTTATTTATTCTCTTTAACCTGTTCCTTGACATCACTTTCTCTTCCTGACACAACCTAAGCATATCCACATCTCTTCCTCACTCCTGTGGCTACAGGCTACACAAACTCCTTCTATCTCATATGACGTCACATATCATCACTTCCCATTGTCTGCATCCTGTGATGTTATTCCTTTCTGGAGCCCAGACAAAGCTACTTAAGTGCTCATGGCCTCTTGGTAATCTGTGGCAGCCAGGTGAGCAAGTGCACAGAGAAACACTGGAAGGAGCACAAATGAAAGATCATGAGAATTGCCTAACATCATAAACACCAAACATCATCCTGAACAAATGACTCATCCATCTCATGCTTTACTGCCTCAGTGGCAGTCTATATTCTCATTCGACTCTTTCTTCTACCTTCTAACAAATATCTCCCCAACATGTCTTTGTTTTTAACATGTCCAGTGCTCTCTCTGAATCCAAAGCAGAAGACAAGGGGGAAACAAATTGAACGTATCTTGGTGTAAGAAAGAAAAAGACAAGAGGAAAGGAGAAAAAATCCAAGACAAACCAGTGCAAAACCAGTGCAAAGAACTTCACTGCTCCCTTTGCATCATGAAACTCCCCACCCCTAGGAGACACATGTGATTAAGACAGACATTAAGGAGATGTAACTGACTGGTAGTTGTCAGCTGCTCACACTCTCCTCACCCCACCTTCTCCTCCTCTTCTGTCTTTCAAAGCACATCAAGTGTTTTCCTACCTGTGACATTGACTTCCACCAAGCCCGACCGTGTACCAATGGCGTTCGAGGCCTCACAGATGTAGGTGCCAGCCACACTGTAGGAGACAGGCCCTTTAAAGTAGATGGTGTTGTTCTGGATTTCCACACTCCCTGGCAGAGTCCCGTTTGGCCTAGGAGAAACAAAGATCGTGGTTGACCCCAGAGATAACACTCAGTAGAGTCAAGCAGTATTGCAGAGGTGACACTGACATGTTGGTTCTGCACTGGCCCTTAGGCAGCTCCAGAACCTGGTGGTGCTGGCTGGAAAATACCCATTAATATAGTCAGCCTTGAAACAAAACCCTCAGTGTTACAAGAAGGATTCAGTAGAGTGGCTCCAGGGTAAATCCAGTGCACGATGAGAATCAGGTTCTTTACACATATTGGGTTTTTTTCCTCTTCTCTGTGATTACAAGGGAGATTGGACTTATTTGGGTCACATACAGCCCCCTGGATTCAGCTAACGGGATGTACAACACTTTCAGTCTGTGTTCTCCCCTATCCAGAAAACAGACTCAGAGCCTTAAAGTGGTTCATTTTCCAGCACAAGCCCTGAGTAGATACAAGCTTAGGGTAAGATGGCCAGGCCACACTTTTGTTTCGGGTGGCTCACCTTTAGCAGGCTCATCTTCAGAGTGTTCCTCCATCCCTGACTTCCCATTTGATGGAAGATACAGGAATGGAACACCAACCTGACCCTGCTTTACTACAATTTCCTGCCCATGTAACTCTCCCGGGCAGCTGATCAGCCAGTGTTAATTGCAACTCAAGCTTGAGTAAAACGGTGCTGATTTAGAACCCTGCCATCTATGTCCTGCCCATGTCAGAATAGGCAGGTAAGTGTGAAATGGAATAATGCAAAACTAAGTCTAGAGATACATAGAATAAATGAACAAAGGCAGATAAAAAATAAAAAAATCCCGTGTGTTAGGAAAAGACACACATGGCCTGGTTATTCTTAATTACTGAAGCAAAGTAAAGTAATTACTTCTCTTAGGCAATTAAAAATTACTCAAGTAATTCTTTCCCCTCCTCCGAACAAAAATGTGCACATAACGTCAGCAATTTGTAAGAAACAAAAGGGAGTAATGGGGGTATAATTAGGTTTGTAAAGAAGTGTCTAAATGCACATGCACATATTTTGCATGTCTACATATACACATAGGCACATATGTATAGCAAACAGCTACATCAAGCCAGTGATCCCAAAGCTGATGGAAGAATAGAATAGCCTAACATTGGATCTCTGCCTTTAGGGCCCTGAATCTGCAAAGACAATGGCATGTCTAAAAACTGTGCTGTGGGACACTAAAGGAGGCTATTGCTTCCTCTAACAGCTCCCTTGACTGTTGCTCATCATGATCCAAATGGGAGGACAGAAAAGCATGGCTGGCTTTTACATTTCAGGCAGGAGTAAAACATGCGCAGCAGCAATTGCTTCCTGACCCCCAGGAAGGGGAAGAGGCACATACGAGTACATGGATAAACCAAAGATGCAAGGTGACAGTTTCTTTGGCTGACCAGCCAAAGAAATGAGGAATCAGTTTGATGTTACCAAAGTGGCACTGTGGGAAGGAAGGGGATGGCCATGGATCTTACTCTCATTTCTTACCTCCCTACACACTCACGTACCACACGCCTAGGTCGTTGGCTGCAGCAGTTATTTAACTGGCTTTCATCCCATCTGCTTGGTCTGCTTGTTCCTCACAGGGCCCTCACAGGCAGCCTGGGATCAAGAATGGGAGAGCAGGACTCTGAGCTGAAAGAGCCAGGGGGCAACTCTGTGCCCCTGCTTTTTCTTCTTCCTCCCTTTCTGCCACTGTTTCCCCCAGTCTCACTCGCTCTTACTCTCTACTTTCCTGTTCTTACGCCTCCAGTCTCCTTACCTTCAGCTGCACTCCACCTTTCCTTTCCATCCTCTCAGGTCAATAATCCTATACTCAGTCCTAACTGTCCCACCAAATATGCAAAAAGGGAGAGGCTGGGGAATTGGACTGAAGTGCTATCTGGCTTAGAAACTGTACTCTTTAATTCTGTGCTCTCTCTCTCGTTTTCTCTCTACAGTTCCTTCTCAAAGCAAAGTACTGATGCTCCCAACCTCTTAGCTATAAGTCAAGAAACCCTTGCAGAATAAAGACAGACAAATGGACATACACACAACTCACAGAGAAACCACAGGAAAACATTCTTTCCAGTGTTTTTTAAAAAAAAACAAAACAAAACAAAACATCAATCACACAAACACACAGGGACCAGCTCAATGCCTGACTCAAAGATGCGCTGCTCCCAAGAATCATTTCTGCCAGAGCTGAATTTATTACCAGCACAGTGTGTAAACCAGGTGTGCAAATGACATGTGCTACTCAGACTCAGTCATGCAGCGCCATGCTCAGCCCTGACACCTGCAACCCCTGTTGTGTTTGAGTCTAGTTGGTAACTAACCATCTTTCCTGCCCTGGGCTACAGAAACATCACCTGGCTGAGCCATTTGCCACCTGGTTACCCCGTGCTTCAGCTCTCAGCCTGCCTTCAGCATCACTATCAGCAGCAGACTGCCCCAACAGAGATCAGGGGCTGCTTGTGCTGCTGGCTGCGCCTGTACATAGTGACAGAGCCCCTGCCACAGAAAGCCTGATGCCCAGGAGCTCAGCAAGCGCTCAGCCTCCAGCCCCGCATGTAGCAACAGCAGAACAAAGGGATGAAATGGCTCGCCCAAAAGCAGAGAGAAAATCTGCCTCCTGTCCCCAGCTCCATCTCACACGGCTTGCTTCATCTCAGTTCTCCAGCCCTGCTACACAAAGATAGCCTAAACTGGGATCTCTTCTGTCTTGGGTGCCACAAGGGGCATCTTTGCCTCTAACACTTTCCTGGCAATGTTGTGAGGAACCCAGAGAGCCCCCTCGGCGTTTAAGTTGAACTGGCAGAACCAACAAAGGGAGAGAGCTGGGGATGAGGCTATAAAAAAGGCAAGAAAACAATTCTCTTCAGACCTTCACTGTGAACAGTTTGATCTGGGAAGTGAAATGAGAGAGAATATGCCTAGCTCCTTGCAAAGCCCTTTTGAGAGCCTCTTTCCTGATGACAAAATGTCATCTGAAAAGAAGAATGGATCCATTTGATCTTTCTTTTTTAAAGCTACATGAGAGCTTCTAGAAAAGGAAGAGGGAGAAAGAACCACATCAGGTTGCATCAATTCTCATCTGACTCCCCAGCTACCCTCGCTTACTTTTCAGTCCCTTCAGTGTGTTCAGCCAAAAGCTGAAACCCTGGAGGACAAGGAATTGCCCCTGTTTAATGTCAACTGTATGAGGATGAATGCTCTGAAGGGGAGCTCCTGCTTTCAGCTGGGGCTGATTCCAGGGAAAGGTTTTTTCACATGCAGACAAATTTTGCGCTATTTGTGTCCCTTTAAGGAAGGGAAATCCTGGGTTCTTTTCCAGCTCTGCTAATGAAACACTTCGTGGTGATGGGCAAATTATTGACCTTGTCATATCTCAGCTGCTTCATGTCATCAGGGCAGAATATTATTCCAGTGAAGTGAGAATAAGAAGTTATCCTGAGTATTGAGGCTGCGCTGTGCTGGTAGCAAGCTCCATCCCAGCCCAGTGGAGAGGGGGTGTGTATGATTATTACCCACTGCCCTTCTCTCCTGAGTCTGAACTGGAAGTTGCTGGGGGGAGACCCAGCTGAAAGACAAGGTAACCTCTGTTCGTCGCAAGGTGAGATGGCTGTGTTATGGCTCAACTAAAATGCTAGTCCCAGTTCTGTCAGCTGCGGCCACAGGCCACATGGAACTTCCAATAAAGTCCATCCACTCAAAACAAGTTCCTTGCCCTGTTCACTTCAGACACTGCACTGCCTGACTCAGAAGCACAGGCTACCCTCTAGATAGGGCTGGCAGGGCAGCAAAGTTTGTTTTGCATCTGATAAGCTCAACTTCAGGGGATGGCCAGCACAGGAGGGGGTAAGCCAGAAAGGCCAAGGCTGAAAACAGCAGCTTCCCTGGTTTGCAAATAAAGAAATTAGTTCCAGTCCCTGTGCAATGAAGGCCTCCTGGCAGAGCTGTGCCAAGGGAACCAGAATCAGCTCCAAGCATTCTGCAGGAGCACAGCTCCAGCAACCACAAGTGTCCAACTCTCCCTCACATGCACAGGTTTTACCTTGGAGTGAGACCACTGACAGTAATGGGACTGGGCACTAACTCACCAGAGGGTGACCGACCAAGGTTTCTACAGAGATTCCTTGGCCCTGTTCAAAGATCATATATGCTGCTGAGAGCAGAGGCACTGTAGGCACTTACAGCTTCCATTCATAGGTGTGAGCTGGGGGGTTGGCATCAGATTTGCATATCAGCTTCACATCCTTCCGGTTGAGAAACCAGTTGCCATCAAAGCCCTCAATAGTTACTTCTGGTTCATCTGCAGGGGGGAAAAAATGATAGAAAATTAGGATGGAAAAGGAGAGGAAAGAATGATGGAAAGGGAAGGGGAGAAAATGACATAGGGAGAGATTGAGGGGTCAGGGGTGGGAGAAGGAGAGAGATGGCAAGGTGGGAAAGATGATGGGACAAGGAATGTGAGAGAGGGTGAATGAAGGAGAGAGAAGGGGAGGAACAAAGGGACATGGCAGAGGCAGAGAGAAAGAAGGTGTGAAAAAGAGAAAGCATATGATTATTCCAAGGGATCACTTCAGTTTTCACTCTCCAGAAAAAGAGAGCAGCCCCCTACTTCAGCCCCTCCACCAGACCAACATCTTCCCTCCAGAAAAAACCTCTTTTGCCAGTCCTCTTTACCCACCCCAGGGACTGACCACAGAGCACTACTGGCCAGCCCTGACCATGCTCACTTACACTGCACATTGAGGGTCATGCTGTCGGTGAAGCGGTCCAGCTGGTAGTTGACCACGCACATGAGCTGCTGCCGGTGTGCCTCCCGGCTCGGCACCAGCCGGTACCGGCTGATCACTGTGATGGTGCCATTGTTATTCCGGATCTCCTGAAACTCCGCTTCCCCTTTGAGCTTGGTGTCCCAGGTGACAGTGCTGGGGGGCTTCCCATTAGAGGAGGTACAGGTAGCTACCAAGATCTTTTCTGTCCTGCCAGACTTAGCAATAAGAGGCCGCTTGGTGCCCTCCATCCGATTTGTGGGCTTGGCTGCAACAAGTGCAAAAAGGAGAAGGAGGAGAAGAAAAGGGTACAAAGGGATGGTTAGAAAAGCAATGCTACCCTCTTTACTACAACCCAAAAGACATTTAGCACCACTGAGCCTGTGACAGACCTTGTGGGGAATCCGCAGCTGCTACGAACTGCCAGCAACCTACTCTGGGGAAGGAATGGTGGAGGTGCCCTAGACGCATGGGTACACAATGGAAAGTCAATCCTTTCCTGCCATAGGTTTTCAGCCCTTTGTTAGAAGGAGAAACCAAAACTGGAGAGCAAATGAATCATGTAGACATTGGGTGGGATGTATTCACCCACAACCCTAAGCTCCATGGACAAGCTCTACTTGTGCTCAGGTTCTCTCTGTTGTCTTTTCTCTCTGTTCACTTTACAACCACCAGCTCATTAAAACTCAGCACTCCCTTAGGGGACATGTCACTGTTATAGCACCCGCACTAAGAGACAGGGGGACTGAGGCCTGGGAAGAGGAAAAGGCATTTCTGTGATAGCTCAGTGAACCACTGACCCTGGGTTTCCTGCTCTTTCCCTCTTCACAGTCCACTTAAAAGATCATCATAGGTAAAACTTACACCCAAGATTCACCTTTGCCCTGAGCCATGAGTCTCAGGTTCCTCCAGATCTGTTTAACTGGAGGCAATGTTTGACACTACAAAGCTTGTCCAGTATCTTACCCAGCACAGTGAGGTTCAGTTGACTTTCCCGGTTGCCAGTTGGGAAGGTAGCAAACTCACAGATGTAAACTCCCTCATCCTCCAGCTCTAGCCGAGAGAGCTGAATGGTGCCATCTTTGAAAGAAGGATTCCGGAAAGTCACTCGCTCTTTGTAGGGAGAGAGGATGGAGACCCCCATGGCAGGGTTGTAGATGGCCACATTCTGCTTGGAGCCATTGGTGGCTTTCTGCCACGTGACCTGTGTGATCTTCACATTGGGGAGCGGATTGGTGAAGCTGCAGTGCAGGACCACGTCTGTCCCGATAAATCCCGAGACTGTGTCATTGACTAAGACAGTCTGAGCTTGCAGCCCTGCAACAAAATGGAAAGACATGAATATACATGTACTTCTCAGACAGAGAAAGAGAGAAAAAGGACATCAGGCCCATGAACACCTTTATTTATTCTATTTGCTTCTTCTTGGCATAGCTGATACAAGAGCAGTCCATGGCTACAGGCACTGAGTACCTTCCACAACTGCCTGCATCCACCTGCATACTCCTGCAGCTTCACTCCTGTTCATAAAACACTTTCCTTCCTACAACTGGTGCTTGCACTTCACTACAACCAGCCCTTACGGTCTGCAGACAACATAGGGCTCATGTTCACCAAAGGCACAAGGCTGGATCAATAATACTTTCCTTCCTTTTGTTCTCAACTTTGGATGACACTAAATGAGTTACTGTAAATACACAGAGCATGTGTATCTGCAGGCATAAGAAAGCACTGATATTTATCAGCATAGCATATCCTAACATATGCTAACACACACTCAGACATCCATTTAATCCTCTGGGAGTGCATCAGTAATTAAATGAGCTGCAAAGACTTAGGCCTGATTTCAGAGTAGCAATAGTTCCCATATAAGAATAGATTTACAGCAATGCCTATACACCTTGCACGATCTACCTGCATGATCTAGATCATTTCTGTGGCCTGTTTTTAACCCCAGAAGTGGCTACATTTAGAAACATTCCATCTTAGTTCTGTGGAGTACAGGTGAAAGGTGCTTGGGAAGAGTGGTGGTTGCTGTTCATGACTGCTATCCTGTCTCAGTTGATTCCTCCCCTGACAGCTGGAGAAAAATGTCTCCCACCAGACTGACCCTGAAATTCATCTTTGGCTGCCACTGTGTCTTTCTCTAATCTGTATGCTTAGAGATAATGCTCTGGTAATTATACAGCCAGTATTTATATAATAAATACAATAGAGAAGCAAGGTGGTAAGAACAAGAAAAGCGGGTTTTGCTTACTGCTTCTGGCAGAATCTGAAATTGGATGTATTCTAGGAGACTGAAAGTAAAGGAAGGAAGGGGGTAATAAAAAAAGAAAGATGTACAAAGAGTGAGGAACATGAAAGGGTAATGAAAGAGAGAGAGGCAGGGAAAAGAAAGAAATGCATAGCAAGAGAAACAGGACAGCATCTTCTAACCGAGAGGACAGAGCATTTCTGAAACGCCACCCCTACGCTATTCTTCCAGGGGACAGTCTCCCTGTGTAAGGACAAAATGAACTCCTCAGTCTTACCCCCCACAGACCCTGGCAGATGTGCTGTGTGACTTCTACAGGTGAACGTGAGCAAGAGTCCCTTTCCTGCAGTTTCACATACACACAAGTGCAAGCATACAAAAGCCTTCTCAACAACAAACACCGCCTTTACCGTTCTCTCGGCACACTCTCATGTTGCCCCCTCACTCCATGCCCCCTGTACTCAGCCTGATCGCAGTCCCCACACCTGTCGTGGTTTAGGCCTGATTGGCAGCCAACCACAATGCAGCACCTCTCTCTCCCTTCCCCTCCGGCAATGAGAAGGGACAGAGAGCCAGGCTTGGGGTTCGAGATAGGACGGGGATGGGGAAAAAATCCCCCTTTTATGATCACGAGCAAAAGGCAGACTCATTAGGGGAAGAAAAAAAAGAACATACATTTATTACAGACACTAACAACACATAACAGAGTAGGACAGTGAGAAGCATTGCCACATCTTGAGAACACCTTCCCCCCACCCCTCCCTTCTTCCCAGGCTCAGCTCTGCTCCTGATATCTCTACCTCCTCCCCCAGTGGCGCAGGGGCAGGGAATGGGGGGTGCAGTCAGCGCTGCCACTTCCTTCATGTTCGGTGAGGGGAGTGTCCGAAACTTGTTCCTCCTGCTCCAGCGTGGTCCCCCTCTCACAGGAGACAGTCCTCCACAAACTTTCTCCGACTTGAATTCCTCCCATGGGCCGCAGCGTTCCCCACACTGCTCCGTCATGGGTCACTAACTTTCTCCGACTGGATTCCCTCCCACGGCTGCAGCCCTTCCCGAGCTGCTCCGGCGTGGGACTCCCCCACATGCTGCAATCCTCCCAGCTCTGAATTACAGCAACGGGGCTGCCTTTTCCCATGAGACTCCGGCCTTCTTCGGGCACAGAACCTTGATCATCCGAGCAGGAGCAACAGGCCATAAATCAATGTCTGTTCTACCGTAGATCTTCATGGGTGGCAGGGGGGGGCCTCCCTGCCGTCTCACCACAGGATACAGGGGGGTCTCTGCTCCGGCACACCTCCCCCCTCCTTTCTTCCTCCATTCCTCCTCTGACCTTGGTGTTCATGCAGCTGCAGCAACTTTTCCTCACAAGTCCTACTGGCCGTCACCACATCCCTTCTTAAATACGTTATCGCAGAGGCGCAGCCGATTGGCTCAATTTCCCAAACAGAAGTGGAGCTGACGTGGAGCTGGGGGACCTTCGAGAAGCTTCTCACAGGGGGCTGCCCCGATAGACCCCTCCCCTGCCACCAAAAAACTCCACCACTCACTCAACCCAGGACAACACCTCATCTAAGCCTCTGCTTTCTCCCATTCTACCTCCCTCCGTGCCAAGTCTGTGACCCTGAGGACAAGCCTCAACAACCCAGCCCGGCCTTGAGACGCCATCAGCTGACCACAGCCATCAGCAGTTAAGACCGAAACTCAGTCTCTAGAGCTTTGTGTGAACTTGCCCCCTTCCCTGAGCCAAGCGCTGGTTTGCCCCACACCCTAGCATTGCAGCTGGGTGCTGAGGAATGTTTTTCAGCGCTGCTTACAGCCGCAGCAAAGCACGGGTGCCCTCATGTGCCTGCATGCATGAAGCCATGAAGTTCTTAGAAGCTGTCAGCTGTGCTGGCAGGTTGCATGTTCCCCCTCCCAGTGTTGCCAGGTCCATTTTTGACACGCATGACCCTCCAGGAATCAGAGGGAAGGGAAATTGCTGCTCTCGTAGTGACAGCTAGACCATTTTTTCCATGCCAACTGGAGGCACTGGCCTACTGGAGAAGGATGTCCAAGCAATAAGACACAGTGAAAGACTTTTCTGACACCAGTCTGGCCTGTGCCTTGTGGGACCCTGTATTCCATGACAGCCTTCTTGATGAAATGAGGGCACCGGGTGCAGAGCAGGGCTGGGTTTAGATAATGTTATGCTGGGATGTGAGGAAAGAATGGGTGGATGGGGAGGGGGGAGATGTCTCCAACATGCTTTGCAGCATATGCTACTCCTTCTACCCTGGAGGTGAGAGAGCCTCTTGCAGAATTGCCCACACCCGCAGAGGTGAGCAACAGCTTTGCCAAGCAGTCTGGCTCTGAAGTCTTTAGAGCCTCGCAAAGCGTGTGGGAGCTTGCCGGAGAGCAAAAGCAATCACGTAGCAAAGGCCCTGGGAACAACCTGCCGCCCATCTCACGGCTGCCTGGCTGTAGGTGTGCTCAGCACTCCCTCTTTCTCCCAAGGCTGGAAGAGAGCGGATTCATCAGCATCAGTCCCCACCTCTTTCATGGAGGGCCCATGCCCCTGAGCAGCACCTGCCCGGGGCTGGGGCGACGGCACAGCTGGCTCTGCTCCCACACAAGCTCCCTGACCCCCCACGGGCCTCAGCGGTTCCCTTTGAACCAGGCTTTCAACATCCCAGTTAAAGAGGCCCCTTTCACGACAGCAGGAAGTCCTTGCTCAGCACCCCCTTGCCGTGACAGAAAAGCCAGAGATGAGCCGAACCCCAGAGAGGACAGGACAGAAGGCCACCAGCTTCTCCTCGGAGTCGCCTGTGCAGGGCATCTGGGAGAACAGCTCAGCCTCTCCTCTGGGTGTGCAGACAAGGAGCACAGCACACAGGAGGCTATGCCAGGCTGAAGGTCACCACTGCCCAAGGACGGGCATCAAAGACGTGCCCCTTAAATAAAGATATTGTCAGCTAACCTGGCAGAGAACACAATGTATATTACAAGGGAGATCAATCTGATCCCTCACTTCATCACTATGCCCCTTCTTTATGCTATGATTTCCCTGAAAATTAATGAATGACCCTTTCAAAAATCAAGTGATTTTTCTTGACCTTGAGTAGTAGTAACAATTCCCAGTTCTACCCTCCCCTTTCTGCCTTCCCCCTGAGATGGGATCCACACAACAGTACAGACTGTACTTGGGCACAAATTGGAGAAAAAACAGACTTTGGTGCTGACAAATCTGACCCTGAACCAGACCCCAGAATGGTCCTGTGGAACCATCCTCTGCCCAGGTTTAAAGAGTCAGACTTTCGGCTAGGGAAAATGCTGGTGCCAGTTGAGGACTGCTTGCCAACAACAAAATGCTGCCAAAGTTGGGATTCAGGCCCCTACATGTAACGGCTTTAACAAAAACACATTCCAAACTTTCTATAGGCTTCAGGGGAAAAAAAAAAAAAAAAAAAGCAGAAGAAATAACAAAACAAAACAAACAAAAAATACCCCCCAAAACCCCAAACACTGTGCGGAAATCGTGTTTCCTTTCCAGGTGACTGAATAACTCATGGCTCTTTGGCAAGACAGGATAAACTCTTTATGTTCTGTTCCTCCAAGCCTCTCATCAGGGAAATAATGCACCCAATTGCTGTGCTCCATACCACGGCAATAACACCCACACCTCAACAACAATGATGAGGATGGGGAACAGATGGAGTAAAGGGGTTTTGCAAGTTGCTGGATCAGCTTTCCATGCTCTCCATCCTAAATCAGAAGCCAGAGGGCAAACTAGCTGCTGTCATGCTCTGGGGAGCATTTGCTTGCAAGGTGGTTGAGCTGGGATGGTGGGTCTTCCCTCGCCCCATTACACACTCAATAATTCATCAGGGCAAATGCATAGATAATTGATGGCAATGAGCATGCAAGGCCGGGAGAGGAGGAGAAAATAAAATCACTAATCAGCCTCTGGAGAGGCTTGAACATATTAAGCAGGATGTGTGTGTGCATGTGCAGTGCTGGGGTTCGCCTTGCTTTTTCTTTGCTGAATGATGTGTGTGGTCGGTACTGCAGAGAAAAGGCTTGGGTT